CCCAAACCCCTCACATGGGCCTTACCCTAAAGCCCATCCAAATATTCTAGTTTGTATACTTGTTCTTGGATGACCCATCAATAGCCCAATCACCAAAGCCTAATAGAAAGGCCCAAGCAAAATTAGGGTTTTCACATAAAATGACGATTAGGGTTAAGTGTTCTTACTTAACCCATTAAGGACTTAATCCATTAAGTCCATCACTCAACTGGTTAAACATACAATGTGGTCGGGATTAATTTATAATTCCAATCCAATGGTCCAAACATGCGGGTCCCGAAAATACCAAATTAACATATCCAAAAATTAGGGTTTTCTAAACCCTATTAGGGTTTCCAACCCAATCGCGTTCCAATTAGTCCATTTGTTAAGCTTTTAGGTTAATTAATTGTTAATTAAGTCGGGCACCACCCACTACCACCTCGGGTAGTGGTGGTCAACGGCGGCTCGCGGCGGCGGCCACCACCTTACGGTGGTGGTGACGGATTTCCTTAATTATTCCGGCCAAAATACAATTGTACAACACAATATACAAATGAACACACACACACACACACTCAGCCACCCTCATGGCGGCATGGGATGGTTGGAGGTGACAGCCACCACCTCACGGTGGTGGTGGTGGCTTATCTCGGGACGTTCGGCCAAGAAACACCCAAACACCACTTCAACTGAAATAAACACGCACATAACATCATTTCACACACACACAACCACCTCTCACGGTGGCTGGTGTCGGCAAAAGGATGTAACATGGCGGCAGCCACCATGGTTGGCTGCCATGGTGGTTATTTACATATTTCCGCCATCTACACCCACCCATCGACTGAAACACGCATCTTTACGCCTGAAAATCACACACACAACACTGAAATATGATTATCCATCACTGAATACGCACCCAATCTCGGCCACCCCTGTGGTGGCGTGTGGCAGTCGAACGGAAGGGCGGCGGCGGAATAATCGTCGGAACCGCAACAACGACGTAGCACCAGAACAGAAATGGAGAAGGAGATGGGAGAGGTTCGTTCTTTTTTAGCCACGAACGGCAGCAGCGATAGCCACGGTCCGTCGTCGTCGGCGGCAATGGAATAGCAACAGTGAACGTTTTCGCCGACAACAATGGTTAGGGTTACCGGGAGGGTAACGGGTTATATACCCCAACTCCATGAAACTTCATCCTATAATGTCACAATCGGTCCCTCCATCTCCTTTTTCTTTCTAATTAAGTCCAGATTCAACCAAATAGCCCCTCCTCTACAAATTATTTTCAACTTAAGTCCATATGTTACCATTTAGCCCCTTAGCCTCCAAAATCCTTAAATTTTAAGTCCAACATTTACCAAACACTCTCTGACTTCTGAAAATCTTTACAAAACCAATCCAGACTTACACTTTTAATCCCCAAATTCCAAATTTATGATGTTTAACTCCCCGAAGCCAACACCTTGCTAAATAATTATTGATTTTGGCTACAATATTATAAAATAAAATATAATTTACATTTCGGAGTTTTATTATTTATTTACTTATTTATTCTAATTTCAAATGGAGTGTTACAAAAAAGATTTAGGAAATATGGTTTCTCAAAAAAAATTAAAACAAAAAACTGAACAAAGATTTGTATTTAAGAATATTGGACTTGGATGTAATGATTCTTGTAAACCCACCAATCTTACAACAAAACTACCCTCAAGGGAAAATTAAGAGACGAACCAAAGAGAAGTAGACCAGTAAGCAACCATAACACTAAAAAATGAAGTTTATGCATGTAATTTAACATTTCAACACAACAAAAGCAATTGTATTAGGCCCAAAACGCCTCTAAATAGCATATGGGGTAAAATGGTCAATTTTAGGTAAAATATATATAAGGCTCCATGAATTAACATTGTAAATACAGTTAGAGATCAATAATTGAATTAACTCTATACACAACAGATCCAGGGAACACACAACAAGACTAAGTAACCCCCAAAGGTAAAATGGTCCAGACCAGGACCAAAAACAAAAAACCACCAAAGTGTGCATTACAGAATGAGGCATTAACATTTAAAACTCGACAACAACACCAATGAATTAGAGTAAAAAAATCCAAGAGGACTTTCAGAAACCATCAACTGCCAATAAGGATCCATTTTATAGCATCTTTAAGGGCTCACAGTGGTCAGACCCGAACTGAAGAAGATTTGTAAGAAGAATTGAAGACCATCTATGCAGGTAAGTTGCAATCAGAAATCAATCTAAATCAAAATTAAGTATTTGTAGATTGATATATCAACCAAAAACTCCAACTCAGATCCAACAATAGTGGATACGTATGTATTAAAAAAAACACCTCACCAAAAGAAACAAACAAATTGAGAAAAAAGATGTCATGATGGCTAATTCCCTCCTTGAAACTATTGTGAAGTCATGTATAACGAGGGGACTTCATCAAGACGTTCATGATTGCTTCTTGAAATATGAAGCGTCATCTATTGGGCACGACAAAAAAATTTAAAAGTGTAATGTATAAAATTATGTCAAAAGCAAGAATTGAACATGGGTCTCTTCAATACAAACTTCACTGCATAACCATCTCAACTACAAGTAATTTTTTTTCTGCATATTATATTTTATATTATTTAAAACTATATATACATAAATTAATCATACCACGTAGAGGCCCCAGATTTTGACAAGGCCCGGAGCAGTCGTCCAGTTTGCCCGTGCTCTAGGGTCGGGCCCTGGATATTCGCTATTGAGATGAAGTGATTTTTAGTATGTTTATATTATAATATATTTAAAACAATTACAATGTTTTAAATCAATTTAATGTAAGAATAAACATTTCATAGTTAAAGAAGTTGATATAGTTATTTTAATAACATGTATGTCGATGTTTTTACTGTATAATTGTGTATGTACAACACGTGAATATTCACCTAGTATCATATAATAAGAAATTGTATACATAATTGTCTTTTAAGTCACGCCTTTAAATGTTGTGACCTTGTTATGTCTCGTAAAACTTGAAGGTTGACTTTGCTGACACACTACCAAAGGCCTTTGGCCTAGCGGTAAGGAGTGACTCTCTCAAATGAGAGGTCATGGTTCAAGTATCACTAAGAGACATAGGTAGTGTTTAGGATTAGATTAGGAGTAGGATAGTTTGCCGTTTAAAAAAAAGACTTTGCTGACACGCTACGTTTAATACTATTTAGAACCTTACAAAATATATAGAACAACTTTCTTTTAAAAATTTAATTTTGAAAATAAAAACATTTTCATTAAAATTTGATTAAAATATCTCATTTTTATAATATATACACCACTTAAATTTTTTAATAAATTAGCTTAGAAGCATTACCATTCGATATTCCCTATGATGAATACTATAGATCCGACCACATAATATTTCTCCATTTCAAATCATCACAAGACACTTTTTGATGCTTTGGTATGTTTCCCGAAGCGGCCATTCATCACAACAAATATACAAAATGATATCAGAATAGATAACCATTTGATGACATGTATTCATTGCTACGTATCAACAGCACATCATGTTCTTATCCTTGACTCACGCTTCACACAAACAAGTATTTGATGAAGTCTTGCTAAAATGGCAATCTATTAGCATCACATTGCTATCTAATCAGTAGCAATCCATTCACTTCTGAATAATCATGAATCATATTTAGAGAAATACAAACTAAAAAATTTGTCTCACTTGATTATTAGTTATTGAGGGGTTAGCAATATATCTTGGCTTGATAGAAAGAGAATAAACGTTCATTTGATCTTGATCCTCGTGGATCAAACAAGGGCTTAGACTGTATCTCCACGGCTCCCCTAATAATATCCATAAATGATTTGTTTTTGGTAAGAGATGAGTATTACCATATGTAAATTCGAGTGCATGGTACACATCAGTATTCCGGTGCATTTCGTTTTTTGAGTCAGAATAAATATGTTTTTGAACCTTTTCTTTCAAATTCAAAGTGGATGTTCTCGCGCGAATCTCAACAATCACTTGTTCAGATTCTACATATTGATCGTTTGAAACTAAAAGAAAACTTTTTGGCGGAATACACACATTGTGTATAATATCTTCACTCTCAATAGTTACATACAAGTCTCTAGAACATAGAAAATCAGGATTTCCATGACGTGCCGTGTCGGATGAACCAAATCCTCGTTGAATTTTATTAATTGCACCGATTTATGATAAATAAGCATCACACTACTGATGAGTCCATCTCTTGAAATCAAAACCTCGCAATTCATGAATGCAATCCATCGACATAGCAGTAATGTCTAACCGTGTTTCCTTATGTGGTATATCCCATGTGTTATGATCAAAGTATCAACGTATTACTATCAACATATAAGAAGTGTTGACGATTAAGTTTTATGTTTTTGATTTGAATATTTACGTTCATTTACGTTCGTTTTGCGGCTTAATGAACACAAAGTAATTTGTTAAATGAATGAACATGAACAAAAAAAAAATCCGTTTATATGTTCATGTTTGTTCATTCGTTTGTTTAACTTAAATGAATTTTTTCATTCCGCTCTGCTTATTTGGAATGCTACTCATTTGTATTCATACTCTTGTATTACATTCCAATAATTACATGTCCATCATATTGGGACACTTCTATACCAACAAGTACATTACCAAATGCATATAATGCTCATGCTTTATCTATTTTCCATGTGGGCATCGTACTTCTATTATATTCCATTTAAGCAATGTACTTATGTTGCTTATGCTTCCAGCAAACTTTAAGATTTCTCATGCATCTTACCTTGATGTTATAAAATACCTTTATCTTAACATTCATTTCCAAACACCAGACCCCTACATCAATTATGCTCCTACTGCTTGGTAGTTGTTATCATCTTTACATACTAAAAGTTTCCATAATGCACAAACTAAAAATCTTTTTAAGAACCTCAAATATCATGGAATTTAAAACAACGAATGTTATGTTAAGAAAAAACATTAAATTGCTAATTAGTACATTTCACAGAAACAGTCTTTTTGCATATTGCAGAAAGCAAAAAGAAAAAAGAACATGTAAGTAGTTTTGATCCATCCAAAGAGTCGTTCAGAATTGCAAATTTTTACAGATCATACATTTTATATAGCCTAAATATCACGAGTAATCTGATATGAGTTCATATAATAATAATAATAATAATAATAATAATAATCATACATATTACATACCTCAGAATTGCAAACTTTCTGATTGACTAACAGATGTGCTTCATGTTGACTTTATGTTGCTCTCTCAAAGCTACTTCCTAATTGCATATGAAGCCACTCCGGTTGTGATTCTTGACCATATTCACGTGCTGCTTGTGACCCAAACAGAAGAGCTGATGCATCAAAGGGTTGTGGATGCCCAATCTGAAACACCAAGAAAACAATTCAAGTCAATTATGAAGTCAAAATTATAACTCGTTTGACCTTAAAAAGTCAAAAGAAACGTGACCCTTTTCTCTTTCAGATAGAAGGAATCAGATTGTGACTCAATAACCCAAGCAAGTGAAAACAGAACCACAAGAAAAGAGTCAAGATGTAGTGCAAAGTGGTCCAAACTCCATTAAACAAGATTAAAGCTTGTGAATGACAAAAGTTTGTGGTCCAATACTTCCTCAAACTCATTTGTAGACTCTACAAATTCCTAGAGATGATTCTCTATAGATCAAATTTGTTTTTATTTTTGCAGTTACATCAATTAAATAATGAAAACAAGATTGAAAACAGCATTTGGTAAATGTCAAATGTTATAAAGGTGTTTAATACTTACATCTTTTGTAGGAAACCCTTCAATTGGAGAGTGCATCCTTGTATTTACAGCTTCAAGCTTCATAGACAAGAACTACAACATGGAATACATCAACAATTTAGGATTTTTATCATACAAAAGGTTGTAAATTTGAGATGAAAATAGTGACAAACTACCTCAACTTGATGTTGGAGTGATTGAATGTAGTTGATTATTTCATCAAGTACAAGTGCTTTTCCTATAACCTAATACAACAAAACAAGTGAATAATTAGTCGTTTTTTCAATCTTTTTAGGCCAAAATAACCAGATTCAAAGAAATCGGAATCCATGGTGCACCTTATTACACCCAGGGACCAAATCTTGAAGAATTTTCATCCTTTCACTAATCTTTTCTCTCCTAGCCTGTTAAAAATGGGATTAGATAATGAACATGGAGTTATAAAAAAAGTGGGAATATAATCAATATATAAAAGAAATGGATAATAAATGGAAATAAATTACTCTTTCTGCAAGACTATGGCTGTCTGTAGCTTGACCCCTTCTTGCTCTGACATGGATGTAGTCTTTAGGTGGTTCTGAAGGCTTACTGTTTTCTCCATCAACTTTCAAACCACTCAATTCATCTTTAGATTCAGACATCTTCGTTCTTTTTCCATTCAAGTTGCTCTGTTCATAAATAGAATTAATAACGCGTTTGGATCTAAATTTATGGAAACAATCAGCAAGAGGAATATAATTGATGGTCAAGGATGGATTTAATCGCAAAATAAATAGTCACAGAAGAGTCGAAAGATTTGAAGGTAGGACCAAATGAAAAGTCTACAGTAAGCACAAAAATCGAAAAGATCGGATATGGAAAGGTACCCATCATTACACTCAGAATTCAAAAGACCCATGAACAGTAAGATACTGTAAATCGTTTACAAGATGCCAATAATAATATTTCAAGATTGATTCAAACAGATTTTGGAATCTTTTGTTGTTTGAAAACTGAAACGCGTCTAAATAAACGCATAGAAAGGTTGGTGTGAACCCTAATTTGATTGGAAATGAAATTTGTGGGAAAACACTTCGAGATTTTCGAACGAAATTTAGCGGCAATTTCAGTTCCAGAACAGGAGGTCGATGTTTGGAAACATCTGTTTCAGCTAGAAATAAAAATAAAAATAGAAAAGAGTAGGTAAATTTGGAAATTACCAAATCATTGCCGCTACTAGTAGAGACAAGCTTTGAAGATTCGTCTTCAGAATTAGCATCCATCCGCTTCCTTCCGCCACCACTCTGCTCCGTCACCGAAGATTCCTCGTCGCGGTTATTACCTGGTTCCACAAATCTATTGATAAAGCTGCTACCCATCTTCAGCCCCAATCCCTCATTGCCACCGCCATTGATAGAGGAAAACGGCCAAATCTCAGTTAAACTGTAAGAAGAAGGATTCGCTGCTGAGAAGGAAGTCTCATTGATTATAGGTGGATCCATTAAGATCAAGATAAACCTTCCTATGTGATTCAATGTTATGTGTATACAAAATGTATATATTTTTTTTGATTTTGAGGGAACCAATCAATAAATACGAGCCCTAAGCGTTCGGTTGAAGACTAAATATGGAAACTGGACATGGGGTTTGACTAAGCTGATCTGGGTTGAATTCCTATTGCTGTATCTTCGTAGCCAATTCGGCTATTTAATAATCTGACCCAGAGTTTATATATATAATATATAGATATAAATGCATACATGTATGGAGAGAGAGAGAGAGAGAGAGAGAGAGAGAGAGAGAGAGAGAGAGAGAGACTGTAAGTAGATGTATGAGGTCAGTGAATGCTGGGAGCGAGTGAAGGAGACGATGAAGGAGCGCAGTGCGCTCCCGGCGCATTTTAAGCAATGTCCCCAGTTTGTTAGAAAGAAAATTTAAATTACAAAAGAGTCCCTGTACTATTAGTTAATATGCTAACTTTGTATATTGACCAAAACGTTTGCAGAAATGGTGTTTATTGGGACTTTATTTTCTAATAAGGTTCTTATCGAGATATAAAATTGGGTAAAATACACATAAACTTATTATCTTGAATAAATAAAAATACTTTCATGTTTGAAAAATAAAGATAAAACAAAATTGATTAAAACTATAATTATTAATATTAATTCATTTTGCTTTAGGCCTTCATATCTAGCCTAAACCCTAAACCCTAAACCCTAATTTACTATACAAGATTAGGAAAAAATGACTCAGGAGGTAAAAAAAAAAAAAAAACTTTTGGTCACTTTTCTTTTATTTGTACACTATTTACCTGTCATAATATACCATTATGACAGGCTAACATAACTTTAACTGGTCAAAATTAATTTTCCGATAAAGCCTATGAACTTTCCAGCAAACATAAAATTTCTGATGAACACTATGAATTTTTCGGGTAATTTCAACACACATACACATTAACACAAATCTGAAATCTGGATTTTTTTTTGTGTGTGCTCCTTGAAATCGATTTCAAAACCTAAATCCAAACCCAAAACCTGAAAATCAAAACCCCTAAAATCTAGGGTTCGTTCATCATAAATGATTTTAGAAGAAGCGAAGATCTTAATTTCATGAAGCTTTTACCCAGAAAACGACTTTCAGATGTATGTTGTGTTAAAAAAATCTTTTTCATCTGTTTTTATTTATGGAACTCACGGCTCAAGAATAGAAAGATCAAACATTCGATTTCAAGGGTTGCGTTTCTGGGCTTTCAAGAACAAGAAGAAGTTGTTCGATTTCTGGGTTTGTTCTTTGATTTCTGATGAACAAGATGTAAGTGTGTGTGTGTGTGTGTGTGTTCTTGAAATCGTTTCCTGGTCTGAAATCGTTCCTAAAATCGTTTATGAAATCGTTTGGATCTTTGAAGATTTGTGTTCAAACCAAAATGTTTATGAACAGACGAAGATTAGGAAAACACAAACAAGTTTGAGACAAATCAGTCTCTGGAACTTGAGGATTTTGATTCTTGGGTTTTGTTGGACAAGATGAAGATGAACACCTGATCCGACACACACTTTCAATCCTTCGCTTTTTGGACCTTCAACCCTTCGCTTTTTGGACCTTCAAACTCACTGATGAACACACTCAAGAATTTCGAGTGTGTTCTTGAACCTAAACAAAGAACTCGAAAACTAAAATCGTTTTTAGAAACAGACGAACAGATGGCAATGATTGTTCTTGAAATCTCTTTTAGATCTGAAATTGTTCCTAAAATCATTTGGCCGGAAAACCGCCGGAGAAGACGACCGGAGTGATATACTCGCCAGAAACCTTTAATACCCGGTAATAATGGTATCTTTTAAACAACTACAACAAGTTCAATGGTAAATGGTATACAAAAAATGACTAAATATGAACAATAGCAAGAGTTCATTGTCCTTATCAGTCATTTTCCCACAAGATTATCCATAAATGTGGAACTAAAATATTACGAGGTCTAGACATTTAAAATCAGTTTATGAAAGATATCATGGTTAAGATGAGTCGTTAAATCCTTGAAATTCACAAAATCATTGTCAATTATACATAATAATGATAAAACAAGAATGTTAAACTCATGAGTGATGATATAGCCATGAATGTGAATCTCATGGTAAATGAAGAGCAAGATCAAGTCTAATATGTATGATTAACCCTTTCCTTTCAACTCTTATACGAAAGATATTCAACATTTGAAGTATGAGCCATCAAAACAGTCGGACTAAAACATAGAGCATGACATAAGAAAGGTCGTCGAGCAAATGTTGTAGAATGGTAGAGTGAAAATCAAAGCGCAAAAACCATATAACGATTAAATTACACATCTGAGTAGAAGCTATAAGATGACAAAGGCATATTGTCGAGCAAAATCCGCTAAGAAATATAAGAGCATCTAAAATAATATAACTTATTTATGAAGTTTTTCATGACACCTACACACTATTCATCAGTCTAAAATTTCAAAAAATCTATACATTAGAAGATTTTTTCATGGACTCACTAATATGTATTAAATGGGCGATTTCTAGTTCCTATAATTCGAATACACATCAATTCTCGATCCACGCTGTTATCAGCTACATTCAAATGGGTCGGAGGTTGAATCATATCATTTTTTTATTTGTTTTTTACAATACAAAGGTCGAAGAAAGCAAGAAATATTGTTTGTCCAAAAAAAGAAACTCGCACCCGCTATTTATTTTAGCCAAGGCCTATTTCTTTTTTTATCCCGAAATGATGAATTGAGCTCGTATAGACATTTTGGACGCTGCTATTGAAATAGCCCTTCTAACTATATTTTCTGTTACTCCACCCATTTCATAAAGTATTCGATCTGGTTTAACAACAACTATCCAATATTCAGGAGAGCCTTTACATGAACCCATACGTGTTTTTGTGGGTCTTACTGTAACTTGTTTATCTGGAAATATAGGTACCCATATTTTTTCACCGCGACGTGCATTTCATGTCCTTGCTCGTCGACCTGCTTCTATTTGTCTAGATGTGATCAAAGCGGGCTCAAGTTCGTGAAGAGCGTATTTACCAAAACAAATATCATTGCCTCAATAAGATATTCCCTTCATTCTTCCTTTATGCTGTTTACGGAATCTGGTTCTTTTGGGGTTATAGTTGATGGTTTGCTTTGAATTCCATATCTACTACAGAACTGGACGTGAGAGTTTCTTCTCATCCAACTCCTCGCGAATAAAATGAATTCAAATTAAACATGTTGAATTCAATTAAGATAGAATATAATTTGAATGAAAATATAAAATCTCAAAGAGAAGGCTTTGAATGTCATATAACTCCATCAAGGACGAAAGCACCCTCGCTATTAGAGAGATAGTAGGCAGTAACCATAACATAACCCTAGATGCCAAGAGGAGCAGGCATGGTTGGACAGGGTACAAATCTTTCCATTTTCCAAATCGATCCAATCCATTCGTTCGTAGAGTTATTTACTTGATCGTCTATATTTCTGGAACAACTCTAACATTTTATTATTTTATTGTTTTTATATGAGTTGGTTATTTAACAATTGATTGAATATGTATATAGTGCTAATTTGAAAATAAATAAATATTATAAGAAGAGTTGTAAAATTACAAGCTTAGTTGAATAAACGTTTATTGAAAATCCTCCCACCATAAGGATAAATCTTTTTCATTGTTTCTGAAAGAAAAAGGTTTGTAAAAGATCATATTATAAAGAGGAGGTATTATATCAAGAAGTAATTAAGCACATAATTAATTACATCAAGAGATAAACAACCATAATAATTGTCTAAAATGTGTCTTAATGATATGTTATTGAAGGTTTAAATGGTTACCCACCTTTAGTTTTATATTTTTGGCTTAAGTTTTATTTTTTATTATGAATTTATTAAAAAAAAAGAAATTTTAATTTTGCCTATTTTTTCACAGTTTTGTTCTTACATGTTTTATCTAAAAAATTATTTTTGTACAAGTTTTTTTTTAAATTTTTTCTACAACTTACTTTTTTAATTACTTTTTCTTTTTTACAAATTTGTATTTATAAAACTAATTTTCTACATTTTGTGCAACTTTTTTCTCAATTTGTACCCAATTTTGTCTTTACAAATTTGTAAAATCGAATCGTGAAAACAAATTCTTCCATGTTCTTTTCACAGCCTTTACAGGTGAAAAAAAACAAATAAACAAACACAATGTTTTAAAGAACAAACTTGTGAAAATGAATTTATAAAAAAATAGATAAACACATGCATAAAAAATGAAAATATGAAATTTAGAAAAGATTCACAGAATCGAATTCATATAAACAAATTTATAGAAAAATAAAAATAAGTTGTAAATTGATTTTTTTTAAAAAGGTATTAAAAAATATAAAACTAATTTTAGAAAAAATTAAATTTTCAAAAATTTATAAATATAAAGTTAAAAATGATGTCAATTTAAAAAAAATGTTGAATTTTAATAAAAAGTATTTAAAATTTGGCCATTTCTTTTTATTAAAAAAAAACTAGGTGATCCTTTAAACCTTTTATAAAACCTATCTTCGGTCCACTTCATTTTTTATATGAAAACTAGTATTTAAGTCATCTGACTCGTTGTAACGGAAAACTCTTTTGTAATTAATAAAAATGAAACTATAAAAAGAAATTTTGTTAGGGAAAAAAACATAATTTTAATGTATGTTTTGCAATTCATATACAAAATGTGATTTAAAAACGTTAACAGTTGATATATACTATGGTGATGATTATAACATATCAAGTGGACTACAAAAGTATCAAAATAAAATTTTGATCCAAATAATTATTTATGATGGAGACGGATAAAAATAAAGCTTGAAAATAATTAAATACTTTAAAGAAACAAATAAAAACGAAAACTATAAAAATAAATTATGTAAGGACCAAAATGTAAGTTTAAAATATAATAATGAACCAAAAATGCAACTTATAATTCATATATAGAACGCAATTTTAAACAATAACAGTTTACATACAGGATAGTGACCATTACTTGATTACTATACACAAAATAACGTCTATATAAATTAGGAATAGAGATTAAAACGTAATAAATACTGTAAAACTTTCTAACATTAAATAAAAAGTAATATTAATAAAAACGTAAATTATAAAAGAAATTATGTAAGATACTAAAAAACCTAACATTAAAATATAATAAGGGCCAAAATACCATAATTTAACTTTAAAATTATGAAGAAAAATAACAACTAAATTAAAAAAATTAAAGAGAAAAAATATAAATATAAAAGTTTTGCTAATACCAAAGACTACATCTCTATTTTAGATAAACTCTTATTTTATGTTTTATATTATATGCTTGAAGATATATTGTTTTAAACATTTAAGTTTTAAAAAAATAATTATTTAATAATATAACATAATTTAGATTAGGTACAAATTTAGTCATTAATATTTTTTTTTGTACATATTAATCATTTATGTTTTTTATTTTGTATACATATGACCATTACGTTTAATGGTCATACATATATATATATATATATATATATATATATATATATAATGACCAAATTTGTAAAAAAAAATGACTAAATATATACAAAAATAAACATAAATGACTAAATACATGTATAATGTACACTCTGTTATCCTTTTAAAATATTATCCTTCTAAAATTAAAAGATTTCTAAAAATAACAAGATGAAATGAACATTGATTTTTACAAACATCACATATATATATATATATATATATATATATATATATATATATATATATATATATATATATATATATATATATATAATAATGTTTTATCTTTATCCATACATATTTTTGTTCCAATAAATATATAATCTAGTATGTTCTTTTTTTATTAACTTATATAGATTATGAAAACTAGTTTTCAATTTATTATATTTAAAAAAAACATGTTACTATGTTTTAAAATCTCAAAGCATTTAAATTTTTAAATACATTAAAATATAAAAATTAAGTTTTATATTTATAATTAAGGAATATAAATTTAATATATAACATTATATTACAATTATATTACATCTAGAATATATCTAATTGTATTTACTAAATAAAAAATTAATAAACATGAAAATTGAGGGCTAAAAGTAATACAAAAAAAGTTGTTATTATTCTGATGTAAAGAAATTATATAACACAAAATTTGTTATTATGACATTTATTTGTATCAAAATGGTACATAAAATATAATTGAGATTAGGGTAATGTTATAATATTTTAATGTAAAAAATAAAATTTTATGTTGGATTGTAGATGCTCATTGATATTAATTGAGAACAATATTAATAATTATTTAGTTTTTTTTATAATAAAAATATGTCTATTATTAATATTTTAGATGTATAATGAGAAGTTTGTTGTCCGATTATAGTATCAAGCGTGGTCGAATCAAGTTGTTGACTATAAAACCAAGTAAATTACGGTTATGGTTCATGTGGTTTGGTCAATTCGTATTTTTATCCAATATTTGAAAACTTAACATGTTCTATCTCTATGTTCTATCTCTATTGTTTGAAGAAATTACATTTGTGACCTCTGAGGCTAAACTCCATTTATTTTCTCTGTCAAACATAATGTTAAAAGACCTTTTTATCCTTGGACCAAAAAGGGTTAATACATTAAAATCAATTATTTATACATCATCGTTTCAATTTAACCCCAATGTTTTTGTTTGTTACTTAGTTGCCATTCATTGTGTTGACTCGTTATGAAAAGTCAATGGTAGCCGGTGTCATCGGTTTAACAGGTAACTCTAACTCTTTATATACCCAAAATCGTTATTTGCCCCAAAAGCTCTCATTCACTCTTGGTTCGGTCTTCTTCCTCACATATCACCCGTCTTCTTCTCCATGGCTTCATCTTCAGCATCTTCAACTATCAAATCGGTTTATCGCACCAAGTATGATTGTGGTGATCAGCTGCAACACTCAGTTTCAAGAACCGATAAAAACCCATGACAAAAGTTCAAGGCATGCTCTAACTATAAGGTAAAATGAATGGATTTTGTTTTCCCATTTTGTTATCTTTCAAAAGTTATTAAATGAAGATTTTGTTGGCAGGGTACCAAAAAAGGGTGTAAATATTTCAAGTGGCTTGACACAAAGGAGTTGGAATTTTTTGCTAATGAAAGGGAACCCTATAACGAAATTGTTGCCAATGGGGTACTGCAAGTGATCATGTTGCTGAAGTTTGTTTTGGTGATGTTGGTGATTATTGGGGTAATTCTTATAATTAGGATTGTATTTTAATGCATTCCCCTAGGTTAAGACAATTGTAATTTTTTCTATTTTGGTAGGGTTAAGGCATTGCAGTAAAAGTAGTTGTTGTAAAGGTGTTGTAGGTTTGTTATTTTGGTTTGATGTAAGAACTAGTTGGTTAATTGTTGATTTCGGATTGTGATGTTTATGTAAAATTATCTTGATGGTAATCCAGTGCTATTTATGACCCATGTGATTTGTTATTGCATTATAGTGATTCATTGCAATGACAATGTAGTTATGGTAATGTACTAAAACTTGTGTAAGCAAGTAAAGGACATTAACTGGAATGACAATTAACTTATGGTAAGTGAAATGACAAGTAAATGCAACGTACTTTAAATACTTGCATTCTTAATAATATAAAAGGGGGTATTATAATTAGAACCAAACATCTAATTGCCCAACAATCTTACAAATGGCCATTAACTACCAATGTTCAAAAAGGCCTAATTGCATTCTAGATGTTGATATACAATTGGATGGTTGTTACCAAAAGCTAATGCAATGTTAACAAAAAGGGCATGCAAAATACATAGTGCCCATGATACCCCCTCTTAAATACTCATACTCCAAATTAACGGGTTTCTCGATACTAGAACCCCCTCTATCCTTATCATAATCTGCTTTCTTCATCTTGATCTTCATAATTCTCTCAGAAATGTTCCTTTTCCTAGGCCTCCCAATAACTTGTGTGTCTTCAATGAAGTAATTCTCCCTATCAGTTTCCTCATCATCTTCAATAACCTAAGCATTAACATCTAAATCTTGTATAGCAACTTCCCCTTGCACTGCTTCCAATTGATCTTCAATTTTATTAACATCTACACCCTGTAACACATGATGTAGTTAATTACCCTTTTTTAAATCACATATTAATTATAAGAAATGTAAAGTAAGGCTGGCATATCATTTCCAATTTATCTTCAATCTCATTAACATCCCCTTCTAAGTCTGCTTTCAAGTGATCTTTAATCTCATTAACATCAACATCTTGTATCATATCATGCATTTATGAATTAAAACACAAATGAGGCATTTTATAAGAATTTAAAAATAGAGTTTGGCATACCATTTCCACTGGTGACAGCGGGTCAGGCATCACATTTACCCTTTCCAAAGCCTATGCGATCTCATGAGGTTCATAACCACATTCCTGCAACATCAATACATCATCATTGTAAGCAATGATTGGAGGTTGGACTAGCAATTATTGGAGGTTGGGCTGCATTTTCTGGGGGGGGGGGGGGGGGCTTCGAAAGCATTTCATATTGGGTTTCTTGATAATGATCATCCTTTTGTACAGTTTCCTAAATAGCAGCATCTGCAATTGCTTGAATACCTACCCTTTCTTGAACATCAGCATTTCCACTTGCTTGAACACCATCTTCAACTCATGCATTAACCTTAGTGGTTTCAAAATCTACAGTTACTTGAATAACAACTTTAGCCTGCGTACTTGCTTCATAAGCTTGGTCATGTGCAGTTGCTTGAACATCTTCAGCATGTGTACCTGCTTTAAAAGCTTGGTCCTGTGTAGTTACTTAAACATCTTCATCATGTGTCCCTACTTCAAAAGCTTGGTCCTGTGCAGTTGCTTGAACATCTTCAGCATGTGTACCTGCTTTAACAGTTGCTTGATTTGAGGATCCTTCTGATGGGTTTTGAGCATTCTAACACTCCTATGGTGTACATGCAACCCTAGAAACCTTGGATCTATGTTTGACTAAGATACATGCAAATAATTATTTTTCCAAGGTTCTTATCCTAACTAGCATGGCATGGGATACTTGAATCAAATAAAACTAGTAGAATTACTTACCTTGTAGTAGTAGTTGATTGCTTGGAGTTTGAGAGCCTAGCACCAATAATGTGGATGCCTCAAATGGAAGTCACAAATCACCACAAACTTGGAAACTTGAGAGAATAGTCACAAACTTCTTGAAATCGGCCCTCTTGGTTTACACACATCAACTAGTGCAATTTCAAGAACCAAAGCCTCCTTTATATAGTGTGGTGGATTAGGGTTACATCCATGTAAACCCTAATACCCATGTCTTTTCATTTCCATGAGATCCATGGGTTAAAGCTCCATGGAGTATCCATGGACTTTCCATGCAAGCCTAGCCCATTCCAAATAAGCATTAGCCCACACTATATAAATACAAGAGCCCATATTTAATTAGTCATAATTTTGATCTCTAAAATTAATTCTAAATTAATTATAGATCAATACTAATTAAATAATATGATTTTATATTAATATATTAGGACTTATAATATATTAATAAATCATAACTTATACTATTCTCAAACGATTATCCATAAATTGTTCGGGTGAAGTGCAACCCAAATGGACCATGCCGGGTCGGGTCAAGTACATACCAAATATAGTTATGGACTTAGACACTATATCCAACAGTCTCCCACTTGGATAAGTCTAATAACTATAGTTGCAAGTATGACTTCAGGAACCGATCAACAATCGTAGCTCTTTAAACTCTGTTGAAATATATATGAAGCGCCATTTTAGATAAGTGATCATATAATTCTCTGTTCTAGATATCAGCCGGACAAATACATGGAACATGGTCTTGCTTATTGTCCAGCATTTGTTTCCCGATTTCCGATTTGTTTGACATAGAACTTAACTGAACACATCAATTTAGTTCTGACCGGGCCCGGTACATAGGTCAAAACAAAATCATCGAGCGGCCCAGATATCGCTTCTAATCCTAGAAGGAACAGATAAACTTCGACTCATATGTTTGCTCTACTACTTGTTGAACTACACATAAAGGCACGGTTTATAACATCGAGTTACCAATGCGTTTTCGTGCAATCAATGCATAACCAACTCATAGGCAACAAATCATATCTCTAGGTTTGAATACTTATATGATATTACCGTTTCACGATCACTCGAGATAAATTCCATGAAGTGATACAAGTGAGCGTGGGTTGAATCCAATACTCAGAACTTATGAGCACTCATGAGTGCTGTAGCCCCGCTTTGTCTAACATCTTAGACCTCTACAAGCCAACCCATGATAGTCTTGATTCATATCTACTTCCAACATATGACCGACTGTAGAGAGTTTGAATAATATGATATAAACCATAACATAATTATTCTGGAAGTCAAAACATGCAAAAAGAAATAATAGTAAACGATTGACAAGAGATAGCAACACTTTACTCATAAATAACAGCTTTTATTTATCATCAAATGTCAATTACATTTTACAAATTTCAAGATTATCTAACTACTAAAACTAATATCATCCTTCAGCCCTATGCTCCGAGCATGCTGGAGATGCTTAGCCCGAGTCAGTCCCTTCGTGAGGGGATCTGTTGGGTTCTCATCCGATGATACCCTCTTTGCCACGAGGATTCCTTCTTCTATTCGATGTCTGATGAAGTGATATTTTCTGTCAATGTGTCTGGATCTCCCATGATCTCTTGGTTCCTTGGCTAAGGCAACCGCACTATTGCTGTCACAGAAAATCTCCATTGGCTCCTTTATAGCTGGTACAACTCCAAGGTCTCCGATGAAGTTCTTTAGCCATATAGCCTCCTTTGCTGCCTCGCTTGCTGCTATATACTCTGATTCACAAGTGGAATCAGCCACTGTCTCCTGCTTGGAACTTTTCCAAGTAATTGCCCCTCCGTTTAGAGTAAAGACCCAGCCCGACTGAGAGCGGAAATTATCCCTGTCAGTCTGAAAGCTAGCATCACTATACCCTACAACTCTCAAGTCCTCACTGCCACCGAGGGTAAGGACCCAGTCCTTAGTCCTCCGTAGGTACTTGAGGATATTCTTTACCGCAGTCCAGTGTGCCTTGCCAGGGTTCCCCTGATACCTGCTAACCATGCTCAAAGCAAAGGCTACATCAGGTCGAGTACACGTCATAGCATACATGATCGATCCTACAGCTGAAGCATAAGGTATTCGACTCATTTCTGTTATCTCAGCCTCAGTACTAGGGCTTTGTGTCTTACTCAATCTGGCGTTACTCTGGATGGGTAACTCTCCTTTCTTGGAGTTATGCATGTTGAACCTTTTCAACACTTTGTCCACATAGGTGATTTGACTAAGTCCAATTAGTCTTTTACTCCTGTTTCTCAAAATCCTTATCCCTAGGATATAGGCAGCTTCTCCAAGGTCCTTCATAGAGAAACACTTCCCAAGCCAGGACTTTACTTCCTGCAGGGTTGGGATGTCATTTCCTATGAGTAGTATGTCATCCACATACAATACCAAAAAGATGACTATACTCCCACTAGCCTTGATATAGACACAAGATTCATCTTCATTCCTTGAAAAGCCAAATTCTTTGACTTTCTCATAAAAGCAAAGATTCCATCTGCGAGGTGCCTGTTTTAATCCATAAATGGATTTCTCGAGCTTACACACTCTACTGGGGTACTCTGTATTGACAAAACCCTCTGGCTGAACCATGTAAACATCTTCAGCCAAGTTTCCATTAAGGAAAGCGGTTTTGACATCCATTTGCCATATTTCATAATCATGAAATGCAGCAATGGCTAACAGAACCCTAATAGACTTAATCTTGGCCACTGGTGAAAAGGTCTCATCATAATCAACTCCCGGAGTTTGAGAATAACCCTTTGCAACCAGTCGTGCCTTATAAGTGTGTACATTACCATCCATGTCGGTCTTCTTCTTGAAGATCCATTTGCACCCAACTATCTTACGATCAGGTACATTGTCAACCAAGTTCCAAACTTGATTGTCATGCATGGACTGTATCTCGCTATCCATAGCCTCTTTCCATTTAGCAGCCTCAGGGCCTGCCATGGCTTCCGTGTAGCTGTTAGGCTCATCCAGATTTACCAGTGTGTTATCACTGATAAGTGTCTCACCTTCTGCAGTAATATGAAAACCATAATAATGCTCAGGTGCATTCCTAACTCTGGTGGAACGCCTCAGAGGTATAGATTCTTCAGTCGGCTCAACAGGAGTTTCCTCCTCAGGTTGAGGGCTAGGGTTTGAGGTTCCTTCACCACTTGACTCTTGAATTTCCTCAAGGTTAATTTTCCTCCCACTGTCTCCTTGGCTCATGAATTCTCTCTCTCGAAAGAATCCTCTTCTTTCTACAAAGACCACATTATCACTGGGTCTGTAGAAGATGTAACCAAAGGATTTCTGTGGGTAGCCGATGAAAATACACCTTTCGCTTCGGGGTTCGAGCTTATCGTGAGTCTTGCGTCTCACGAAAGCCTCGCAACCCCAAATCTTGATGTGGTATAGATTGGGAACTTTTCCAGTCCACACCTCGTGAGGTGTTTTGGCAACCTTCTTTGTAGGGACTAAATTAAGGATATGGGCGGCAGTCTCTAAGGCATACCCCCAAAATGAGATTGGTAGCGAAGCTCGACTCATCATAGAACGAACCATGTCCAACAAGGTCCGATTGCGCCTCTCAGCTACACCATTCAACTGTGGTGTCCTAGGAGGTGTCAATTGTGAGACAATCCCACATTCCTTAAGATAGTCAAGGAACTCAGTACTAAGATACTCACCACCACGATCGGATCGAAGCATCTTAATGTTCCTGCCCAACTGATTCTCCACTTCTTACTTAAACTCTTTGAATTTCTCAAAGGTTTCTGACTTATGCTTGATTAGGTAGACATATCCATATCTACTAAAATCATCAGTAAAAGTCACATAGAACCGATTAGCATCTCTTGTGGCGGTTCTGAAGGGTCCACACACATCCGTGTGTATGAGGTCCAACAAACCTTCACCCCTAGCACAAGTGCCAGTAAAAGGTGACTTTGTCATTTTACCAAGCAAACAAGATTCACAACTATCATCTGACTTTAGGTCAAATGAGTCCAAGACTCCATCCTTTTGGAGTTGGCCTATGCGTTTCTTGCTTACATGTCCAAGACGACAATGCCATAAGGATGCTTTATCTAAGCTAGTGGAAGAGTTAATACACAATACATTATTTCCTAGATTATCTACAACAGATACAGTTTCATACACGCCATCACAAGGTAATGCTTTAAAATAAAGAACATTATTAAAGAAAGCATCAATACTACCATTATTATTATCAAAATAAAAGGTAAAACCTTGTTTATACAATGCATGAAAGGAAATAACATTTCTTGCCATTTCTGGCGAATAATAACATTTATTCAAATCTAATGTAAACCCACTATTTAGCACTAAGGAATAAACTCCTATCTTGGTGACAGGTGAAGCTTTCCTGTTTCCCATGATCAAGTTTATCTTTCCCTGCTCCACATTCTCACTTCTTTTTAGTCCCTGCAAATCACAACATATGTGAATACCACAACCTGTATCAAGGACCCAAGACTTAGAATGAGGTGAGTTATTAGACAATATAGTGTATATACCTGCATGGTTGGGTTTTACTTTCCCATCCTTCAAATCTTGCTGGTACTTTGGGCAGTTTCGCTTCCAGTGCGACTTTTCATGGCAATAGAAGCATTCAGCCTCATTAGGGTTAGCAGAAGGAGTGACAAAACCTTTCTTGGTTTTGCTTGAAGAGGAGCCTTCAAGGGTCTTACCCTTGGTACCCTTAGAAGGGTTCTTTCTCTTCTTCCCTTTGCCATGCCCGATTGCCAAGACATTGGCCGCAGTTGGAGTAGGAGTAGGAGTAGTAACAACCGACTTACCCTTTAGACCACTTTCGGCGGTCTTCAAGAGTCCTTGAAGTTTGCTGAGGGTGACTTCTTCCTTGTTCATGTGATATGTCATGCGGAATTGATCATAACACGATGGCAAGGAGTGCAAAATGATGTCTATTGCTAACTCCTCAGGGAAGTTCACATTCAGCTTCAGTAAACGGTCCACATACCTTTGCATTTTCTGCATGTGGCCCGTGATGGGTTCACCATCCTTCATTCGGGTTGTTATCATGGAGGAGATTATTTCATATCGCTCTTGACGAGCACTTTGATGGTAGCGGTCCATCAAGTCCTGGTGCATCTCAAAAGGATAATAGTCCTCATAGGACTTTTGGAGCTCGGCTGTCATGGTGGCCATCATGATGCATGCCACTTTTGTAGCATCTCTTTCATGTACCTCATATTCAGCAAGCTCTTCAGGAGTAGCAGTTGGCTCGGGTACCTTCAGCTCCTTGTCGAGAACATATTCTTTGTTCTCATACCGAGTGACCATCCTGATGTTTCTGATCCAATCTGTAAAGTTGGACCCATCAAAGATGACTCTCCCACAAAGATTCATGAGAGAGAAGGAGCTAGTAGGGTTTGAGCCAGAAGCATTGTTATTGGAAGACATCTGAAAAGAAGAGGGAATAGATTAGATTAGATATAGAGATAGTCCTTAACAAAACACCCAAATGTAATATTAAGGCTAGGACCCAACACAATATTTTATAACTTAGAAGAGGGATGCCGTAATCTAAGCTATAAGATATTTGAAGGTAGGTGAATGACGATTCACCAATTTCCACCATGAAAAACGAAATATTTAATTAGGTTTTAATTGGTTTAGAAACTCCTAGATTCTTTGAGATTCATTGAACTTTCTTCAATGGCATGTTTCAATCTCGAGTGTGCCCTTCAAGTTTTGTGACTGGGATGCCGAGGATCACAAAACAAGGTGTGAAGTAACCATGCAAATTACTTGGTACCCTTAATGTATTACCCCTCAATCGATGTGCCGGTTAACCACACACGCTCCATCGATACTATGATAAACATTAAGTCACCCTTTACCTACCTTGTTAAGTTCAAGTTAGTGTGCCGGTTAACCACACACGCTCCACTAACGACTTAAACAAAGTGTAAAGTGTAATTTCATGGATTAGCACCTTATTCACATTTTCCTAAAATAACTAAGATTGGGAATTCAATAAAGTTTAGTTACTTTAGTATTCATTATACTTTTAATGAGAATTTATAAGTCCTTGTCCTACCCGTTCGGCTAACGACCCTCCACCGATCAAGGAAGCGGTGGGTGAGAGTGGACACCCATTAAGTTGCCATTTTATAGGCAACAACCTTATACCCCCTTATAGACCGGCTTTGTGAATGAGGCGTACTAGCGGTAAGACGACTTGATCTTATACATATATAAATATTATTAAACTTATAATATTATAAAGTATAAGGGTTGAATTTTAACTTTTAAAATTCTAGGGGTTGGAACTAAAGTTTTTAATATGACTTTACATGTTCCAAAACTTGAGGGCAAGTTTTGTAAACTTTCAAAACTTTTCATTTCTCATAACTTATGAGTTAATGGTTATTAAAAATGAAGACTCTTCATTTTTTGTAACCTATGTGTTCTTTTAATGGTTATTTATAAATGTGACTTTTGTTATCCATAACTTAAGAACTAGTTATGGACTCCATTAAAACACATAAAGATCAAGAATTAATCTAATCAATTATTAGCACATAATTTCTATGATCTTCTAAACTCATATGTTTATGAGTGTTCATATAAAAAATTTCAAGAATCGTAAGTACATATACAAAACTTGAAATTTTGATACGAGCTTTTGAACAAAACTTCGATTTTTCAAGTTTTTTTTTTTTTGCATCAAGTATCAAATAAACAAACCAGGCTCTGATACCACTGATGGGTTTTGAGCATTCTAACACTCCTATGGTGTACATGCAACCCTAGAAACCTTGGATCTATGTTTGACTAAGATACATGCAAATAATTATTTTTCCAAGGTTCTTATCCTAACTAGCATGGCATGGGATACTTGAATCAAATAAAACTAGTAGAATTACTTACCTTGTAGTAGTAGTTGATTGCTTGGAGTTTGAGAGCCTAGCACCAATAATGTGGATGCCTCAAATGGAAGTCACAAATCACCACAAACTTGGAAACTTGAGAAAAATAGTCACAAACTTCTTGAAATCGGCCCTCTTGGTTTACACACATCAACTAGTGCAATTTCAAGAACCAAAGCCTCCTTTATATAGTGTGGTGGATTAGGGTTACATCCATGTAAACCCTAATACCCATGTCTTTTCATTTCCATGAGATCCATGGGTTAAAGCTCCATGGAGTATCCATGGACTTTCCATGCAAGCCTAGCCCATTCCAAATAAGCATTAGCCCACACTATATAAATACAAGAGCCCATATTTAATTAGTCATACTTTGATCTCTAAATTAATTATAGATCAATACTAATTAAATAATATGATTTTATATTAATATATTAGGACTTATAATATATTAATAAATCATAACTTATACTATTCTCAAACGATTATCCATAAATTGTTCGGGTGAAGTGCAACCCAAATGGACCATGCCGGGTCGGGTCAAGTACATACCAAATATAGTTATGGACTTAGACACTATATCCAACACCTTCTCCATCATTGTTTATCTTCTTCTTTCTTTTCATTATAAGCTTAACTTTCCATTGTTTTGAAGTTCCTTCTCCATCCCTTTTTGGTATTCCAGTTCCCTCTCCATCCCTGTTTGGTAGCCTTCCTGTTTTTTTTAGGTGGCATAGAGTCCCTCATTACTTGCTCATTCTTATAGGATTTCAAGCTATGTCCCAATTGTAAACATTTGTTACACCTAACAGTCTTACAAACTATAGTTCTAACAGTTGGTAACTTGGAATCATTGACCTCATACACATGCCTTATTCTCTTGGTTTTTGGCCTACCATGCATTCTCTTTGTCAATGGTAGGTAATGGCTTTATATAGTTAGCGGGTGTCCACATGTTGCGTCCATTCACCGGTGATATATTTATGGTATATGCAGCCACAAATTTCTCCTTTTGGAACCAAATGCTCAGAAAATTAGTTGGATTCATGTGAGTGTAGTTTATTGCTGCTTAACCATGCACACATGGTATTCCAGATATCTCCCAAAGTCTGCATGTGTAATATTTTTGTTCCAAATCCACTTTGTAAGTTGCATACACATACCTTGTCTCAAATACATACCCTCCAGTATCTATCACTTTCCAGTTCCTATTGATAAAAATTAAAAATAACAATTTAATGTTAAGTACAAAGCACAACTTAATGGTAAGTAGTAACAACTTAATGGTAAGTATTTACCTTATCTCTTTTCCAAACTCCTCCATTTTCTCTATGATAGCTGGACAAGATTCAGTTGTCCATGTAGAAGCAATATCAGCCAAATAGTAAAACCTAGCCATGACATAGATTCTGATTTCCTCTAACATTATTAGAAGTGTTTTTTCCTAATATTTATGATCATCGAGGTGAAGAACTCATAAGTGCCATTTTCCACTACCTCACATGCATACCCTTGTGCAAAAAATGCCCTACATCATGATTATGGATTGTTAGACACAACCAAGTATATCCATTTGGGGTGATTTTCTTAATTTCTTCCATGTTAGCCACAAAATCTCCTTCATGTGAACTACTTACAGCAGTATAGAATAAGTTTTTCAACTCTAAACATGTATGCCTCTTCCTGAAGTTGGCATAAATGTGTCGTGCACACTACCTATGTTCAACATATGGAAGGATAGATTTCAAAGATTCTAGAAGCCCATGAAATAAGTAAATAAAACATTAATATTGGTTAGACAATATAAATGAATACATGAATTTTTTTGTAAAGTATTTATGTTTACCTTGTATTGATCTGAAATGACAACTAGACCCCTTCCACCCTAAACACCCAAAGTAATCAACCAAAAGCTGTAAAAACCAAGTCCAATTTTCTTTGTTATCTACGTTTACTACAGCCCATGCAATTAGATAGACGTGATTGTTAGCATCTCTTCCAATAGTAGTCAAAATCCCCCCTTTGATTTGTCCATTTATGAAACATCCATTTAATCCAATCACACGTCTGCACCCTCTATTACAGCCATCTTTCAATGCCTTAAAACTTAGTTCTTGCCATATGGATTTACTGTCACTCCTACTTTGCATGTGCTTCCAGGGTTAGATCTAACGATTTCATTGGCATAATCCCATACCTTAGCATAGTGTTCCTTTAGTTTACCTTCTATCACTTCTCTTTCCCTTACCCTAGCTCTATGATATTGCCCCTTTGACACTTTAACATAGTATTTTGTAAGGACATCGTCCATCATCTCATGCAATGTCATTTTGGGCTTCCTAATATGTCCTTAATGTAGTGTTTTGCTAACCAATTACAACTAACCAAATGTTCAGAATTATAATTCCTTGCACAAAGATGTGTTTCAATCATAGATTTTATCTGAAAAGTACGTTCATTGTACTTCCATGAAACATGGATCCTAAAAGGACATGGTTTTTTTGCATTTTTTTCCATACCGAACAATTACCCCGCTTTTATCATTCTTCATGAACCAAAGTCAACATCCATTAGCTACATCGTAGTTAGTTAGTGAAACCTTAACTGAGCAGGAGACTCGTATAACTCATCAACTGTAGGCTTCATTTTGTTCCACTTGACAAGAGGATCGTGCACCCTAAACTCGACACCCACTTCCAGGTCATTTTCATCTTCAAGGTGTTCATGCTCATGCTCTACCTGGTGGATATCTTCAACATCAACTTCATCGTCCCTTTCAAATTGATTATTCTTTAACATTTTATCATCACATAAAATGTTAAGAAAAGGGTCGTCACACAAATTAGATGTAGGATTGAAGTTATCTTCTTCAACATCCAACAATCCTAAGTCAAGAAGATCATCATTAGACTCTTCATCACGTACGTATCTAATCCTTGTCTTCTTTGTCGTCTTTAATTCTTTACTCTTCCTTCTCCGTGATGATTCTGCCATCAAACTCGCCTTCACTTCTACAATGGTGTTTCAAACCCTTGAAAATTTTCGAAAACCCTCTTCCAAAACCCTCTTTTGACGATGATCGTATCTGGATAACCCTAGTTATTCAGTCAATTTGATAAAGGGGGTGGCTAATATGCACGTTCCCAAGTATTTATACTGGAGTGAAAAGAGGCAACCGGAAAGTACTTGATTACCGGTTGGTAACTTGGTAAGGGTTAATAAATGGGAAGTCATCTCTTTAATGGTGGTAAATAAGTAACAAAAAAACATTGGGGTTAAATCGAAACAAGGGAGTATAAATAATGGCTTTTAGGGTATTAACCCGACCAAAAAATATCAAAACTTGTATAATTTAGGGACCTTTGTAGAAATTATTTGTAAAGGATTTAAAACCCTAAATCTACAGCCATCGTTCATGAACCTCTCTCGTTGTCGGAATCCTACTCCAAACATCATTTTCTTGTTCGGACTCCGCCTTTAGATGTCGACACCATCCCTCTGCCTGTCGTCCTCCCTTTTGGAATTGGTATGCATCATCCCCATATGTCTTAGATTTCGATTTTTAATTCGTCATCGACGATTTGCTCTTCCGCGACCACATCTTCTCCGTCGACACTTTTCTCCATGACCACGTCTTCAACGGAACCGGTCCATTCTCTCTCTTTCTTTCTCTCCTATCCTCCTCTCTCTCTCTCTCTCTCTCTCTCTCTCTCTCTCTTAAAACTCTGTCTACTTTAGTGTATTCAGATAAAATGACTATTACCTCTCTCCCTACAACTCCGACTCCACTCTTACACCACAAATCCACCCCCACCTCATCTTTTCCACAACCTAACCATCAACACCTTCGACCCTTATCCCTCACGCCTCCTCCTCAACACATGTTGATCCCCATTCCCCTCATCTTAGACTGCATGAAGGATGCCAATGTTGTTTCAGAAAAGGTTAGTTTTCCAACCTCAAATCGAAAACTTGGTGTTGAATTTTTGTGATCATTCTTTGCATATCAATATTTGTATGAGTATAATGAACAAACCTTGTATATAACTCAATTAACACCATCTATTATTGTTTTTTTGCTTCCGATGTTGAACGTTTTCACCAAATTCTCAGATTTTATGAATTTCTCATGTGGTTGGCATAAGATGGGCACAATCAATCATTTAATTATTGTGTTGTATCTTTTGGTTTTTTATTTGCTTATATACATTTTTGTGGCAAAATTGCAACCTTAAGTATCTATTATGGTAAATGATTTTTGGTTTTCAGGGGATTTTGGTAATTGATGGTGGAATATGGCGGCATAGTTTTTCAAATTTTCTCTTAGTTTCGGAGTTACAGGTAGTGGTGAATGGTGGGTGGTGGTGGTGCTTGGTTGTGGTTTTAAAATAATTTAAAGAAATTAAGAAAATAAGAAAAAGATAAATAAGATGGTAATTTCGCCATTTAAAAAAATTTAACGGAGCACGGTAACTGTCTTAGGGACCATCGGTGTAATAATTACAAACCACAGGTACCAATCATGATCACTTTTCCAAAGTTGGACTAATAATACGAATTTGAGAAAACCACAGGGACCAAATCTATAATTTACTCTATAAAACCTATATGTAATAGTTTAGGGACCATTTCAGTAATTCCGCTTTACACATACGCATCTATGACTTGTACTGTACAAGCTAACCGTTTTTTTTTTTTCCGGGATATGAAAGGCGAGTGGATGATGAGTGTGTACTCGCTTTCTACAGCTTACACGCGTCCGACAGCGAGTAAAATCACGAGACTACCCTTCTGAAGTCTGACTTTAATGACGCGTGGAGTTATAGTTTATGTTCGAGCGAGTGTGGTAAGTTAGGGGTGTTTGTTTGTATCTGAGCTGTACAAATGGGATCAAACGCCTCAAAAAGCGCACTTTGTCCAATTTAATCTGTACATGTACCTTACGCAATTGCGTTGGTACCGTCAACTTCTGACCCATTTGCAAATATTTTATCGAATTAAATTTGAAAGATACAAATATGACATTTGTATATATACTCCTTCCGTTCCAAAATTATTGTCCACAGATAAAAAAAAAAAAAACATATAGATTAAGAAAAACAATCGTTAGTTTTGTCTTTTTGAGTAAAATGATCCTCTTGCCCTTTTCTAAAACCAATGAGAAATGTACGTTTGTAATTATTCAAGTTTACTTTATTAAATGTAAGGGGTAATATGGTAAAATTATATATCTACTTTTGGTAGTGAACAATAATTTTGAGACAAACTAAAATAGTAAGGTGGACAATAATTTTGAGACGGAAGGAGTATATTTTTAATTTGCAAATAGTGTTTAAATGTTTATATTAACTAGGACAATGTCGATTACAAATTGTTATATAAATATTTGTGTCTAAAACGAGTAACGTTTCACTTTTACTTTTAAATATTGTGAAGTATGTAAGTCCCTTGTTAGGCTATATGGGACAAAATTGCAAGAATGGTCCCTATGATATGCCCAAAATTGTTACTTTGGGCAAAACAAGTTTGGACTAGCATAAATAGTCCAAAAGTTTTCATTTCGTTGCAGTTTTGGTCCAAATCAGTTTAAAAAATCTAAAAATGACGGATTTGCCCATTTCCATTTGTTTTTTGCTTTTCTTTTTGTTATTTAATTATTTTCTAACTAAAAAAATAATAAAATAAAATAAAATAAAATCTCTCTCTCTCTCTCTCTCTCTCCACCATTATTTTTTGCAGATTTATTGGGTTGAAGAAATATGCATCTGCATCTTGGTCGGGATCCACTAAAAACAAACACACACATACACACACTAAATCATCTAAACCTTCATCCAAATCATTTGTGCATCTTTCATCCAATCAATTGAAAAACAAACATACATACACTAAATCCACATCTCCTGCTGGGTTTTTTTCCCTAAATCGAAAAGCAGTTTTCAATCGGATCACCTGTCAACTAAACGATCGCCTCCGCCTGAGCAGAAAATCAAAACCTTTGGAAATTAATCTTGATTTTGTTTCGAAATCAAAGCTCATTGATTTGAAGTCCTATGAGAAGAACCTAGTAAGGAATCAAGGTTATTCATCTCATCGAAGGTGGGTTTGATTGAACTCACTGTTATGATGTTTCTTTGTTGTTGTATGTGTTTGAGGACGAGAATGACAGAGATGATGGTGGAGAACGATGCCATGACCATACCCATTGATAAACAGAACTGGGTCGGGTACTGGAATTTGGGTTTGATCGAATTAGAAACACAAACGATTGGTGCTTCGGGGTGGCTTGATTTGAACTAGGATATCGTTTGATTTTTCAGCTAGAAGCTTAATGGCTTTGTGTTCCTCGACTGCAAATCCTTTCGCGAGGAGAGTGTTGTCGCAGAGAGCTAAACACTTGAAGATGAAATCGAAGAGACGTGTAGTCGTTTCCAGGTCTCTGTCAAATGAACCTCTCCGACAACCCATTCCGATAGTACCTGTGTGAACATCGACGTTTTATTTAGAGAGAAGGAGAACGGAGAGAAAAATCGAAAAATAATGGTATCTTCGGTGAAGTTTTCTGATAAAATCTTTTAAAAGAGATAATCGGGATCCAGGAGTATCAAAATGAGATACAATGACAACACAGTAAAGTAAGGTGAGAGAGAGAGAGAGAGAGAGAGAGAGAGAGAGAGAGAGAGATTTTCTTTTATTTTTTTATTTTTTTAGATAGAAAATAATTAAATAACAAAAAGAAAATCAAAAAACAAATGGAAAAGGGCAAATCCTTCATTTTTAGATTTTTTAAACTGATTTGGACCAAAACAGCAGCAAAATGAAAACGTTTGGACTATTGATGTTAGTCCAAACCTGTTTGGCCCAAAGTAGCAATTTTGGATATACCACATGGACTATTCTTGCAATTTTGTCGCTATATGGAGTATATAACATTTCCATGCGTAACCTTACACATAAGAAGTTAACCAACCCGACCCATGCATCCTGAGTGTAAGGCTTCGAGACTGCTGCTACGCTTCAATACAAGGAAGAGAGAGAAAAAAAATGTTCATATGACCAAAGGCCTAGCTACTCATGCATAAGGTAGGTCTTAGGACCTACCTTTTTTTTAATACAACAAATATACATAAAAAAATAAGGAACTACCTTATTTTTGTCAAAAAAAAACCTACATTTTCATATTTTTACAGTTTCATTTATATAAGGAATTATGTGATTTTTTGTTCTAAATTCGCCATTACATATGACCTTTTAGCAATTTTTCAATAAAAAAATTAAATAAAAAAACTACCTACTTCTCTCTATAAATACCATTTATATCATTTAAATCATACACCACAAAACACATATTCTATCTCCGAAAAAATTATTAAGTCACCGGACATCCAAAATGATAAACAATTTGTCATCTTCATCCGATGACGATGATATGTATTTCCACACGTTGATGGAAGCGACAGTTACATTGATGGATCAAGAATGCGAAAGCTCAAACACCATCAAGAGGACCAACAATTCAATCAACATAAATGGTGAGGCTGCACACACACACACACACTTCTTGTACGTGATTACTTTGTCGATGATTGCATATATAACAATGATCAATTCAAACGTCTATTCATGCGTATAATGAATGATTTAGAAGCTAATTACGAATACTTTTAATGGAGATACGATGGAAGAGGTAAACTAGATTTTAGTCCTATATAAAAGTGTATTGCCACAATTAGAATTTTGGCATATGGCAACATTGTCGATGCACAAGATGATTATTTGATGATGTCTGAAAGAACCGCCCGAGAATGTGTATACAACTTTTATGAGTGTGTTATAGAACTATACAGTGAAATATATTTACGGAAGCCTACGAGAAGTAATGTTAAACAATTATATTTTGCACATGAAAGTACATACAATTTCCCAGGAATATTTGGTAGCATTGATTGTACACATTTGGAGTGAGAAAATTATATGAATGCATGACGAGGTCA